CAATAGCTACCCTTCGGCCACCGTAGTGTGAACATAACAATAATCTTGCCCAAGTGTCTCTACAGACAACCATTATTGGCATGAGTATATATACATCATACACAGCGGAACACTGTAAACTCGAAATCCTTAAAGATATAGAATGTATCGATCTATCTCTAAGCGGGGTGTCAGTACAATGTGCCGTTCCCAGGAAGTTAATCTACTAATGCAACACCTTCAGTTACTGGACTTTGGGTTTATACGTTTAACCAAAATCTAATTAAAAGCTACACATAGAACTAGGTAGTAAGTGCATTATGGCTAGAAGGAAATTATGACTGAATGGGATATAGACTTAACATCACGCCCGTGAATAACTGAATGAATGTGTTTTTACGCCGCTTTTAGCAATATTCCAGCAATATCACGGCGGGGTACACCAGAAATGGGATTCACACATTGTACCCATGTAGGGAATCGAACCCGGGTCTTCGGCGTGACGAGCGTGCGTTTAAACCACTAGGCTAAACCACCGACCCTGTGAATAAGTACCTTCCCTGGCAACGAAATGATATCAGTGAGTGAGTGAGTTTAGTTTTACGCCGCACTCAGCAATATTCAAGCTATATTTGCGGCGGTCTGTAAATAATCGAGTCTGGACCAGACAACCCAGTGAGCAACAGCATGAGCATCGATCTACGCAATTGGGAACCGATGACATGTGTCAACCCAGTCAGCGAGCCTGACCACCCGATCCCGTTAGTCGCCTCTTACGACAAGCATAGGCTACTGAAGATCAATATTCCAACACGGATCTGTTAGTGAGTGAGTGAGTTAATATTTAGCGTCACATCGGCAATATTTCAGCCATATCGTGACGAGAACAATTTAATTTATATCAATGATATTAACTATATAGTATCAGGTCGAGGCTATGGCATAGTAGGTGATGGAAGGGCCGACACTTATATTTCCAATAATGAATATCAACAACCATTCTTCCGAGCAGGCAAACGGAAGTTTTCCTGCAACCTATAGCTATGTTGCTCATGAGACTTAATACTAGAGGATAAAAGGTTCGGTAAATTGATTAATGATATTTCATCATAGCCCTGACCGCCTCCGTGGTGTAGTGGTTAGAGCGTCCGCCCGGAGAGCGGAAGGTCGCGGGTTCGATCCCCGACCGCGTCATACCAAAAGACGTTAAAATATGGTACTTGTTGGTCTCTGCCTGGCGCTCGGCATTAATGGGTACAACAAGGACTGGTCGGCTCGGAGTCAGTATACTGTGTCTGAGTGGGGTATTCATGCTTCACTGCGGCATGGTATCTCAGTGAGCTAGCACTATAAAACCAGCTTAAGTCTTGGCTAGTACAAGCAGCCGCACATACACATACACACGCATGCACGTCGTCATATGAGCGAAATATTCTCAAGCACGACGTTAAACCCAATTTCACCTCACCTCACCTCACCTCACCTCATCATAGCCCTACGAAATGTATCGTTGCTCATAATATCAATCACTGTCTCGATTACATACAGACCGCTCACGTGCAGGTTTTAATACACCAAATCAGATTCAGTACTTTTCGGAGCCTTCAGTGCAGACGTAATCTTCTGACAGCTGCGATTGGATGGCTTTGTGTAAGATTTTTGTATTATGTACATCAATATTTAAATGTGCATCCATCCAGTAATTAAGGTTGACCATATTTTTCAATATTTATAGCTGGCTTTTTTTAACATGATGACTTATGCTGAATGTATGCAGGGATATTTTCAAGTCAGGTGACATTTGGTGCGGAACTAGGGTTAGTGTGTTCAGTTTCCTGTATTCGGAAAAGGATTTGGTTAACCTTGCCAAATTCTGCGTTTTTATTGTAGGTTTAAGGCCATACTCGCATTTATGTATGTGTAATAGCTGTAAACGGCCTGTTTGTTGCTGTTTTTACAAGAAAATATAACGTTACGGTTGAGGTCTATGGGAAAACATTTCGTTTTGTGTTTTAGGTTACAACCTTAGTAGCTCAAATATTGTGGCGTTCAGCGAAGACAACATTGTTCCATACAGATTGCATGCATGGACGTGAGATCGAGTTTGAGATTTGTATGATAATGATGGCGTTCAGTAATAAATGAAAAATAACACCTACTTAACAAGTAGATCATATTGTCAGATATATAGTGCTAGCATCATAAACAGTATTTAAGGTTACCCTCGGCAGAGCGAAGATACTGGCGTGTTGGAATGAGATGAGTGAAGTTAACTTTTGTCCATTATAACGTTTCCAAATATCAGCATATAGTAGACATACACTTTGGGGGTTGCCATTGTAACAGCAGCAATTAAACTGTTTGAGTTTCTAAAGTAGTTAAATTAAAGTTTTAAAATTTATGTCCTACGAGCAATATCCCTATCTTTTATACCGCCGGCAAAGAAGTTTAGAGCCTTGTCTGATGGTGACTAGAAAAGGCGATGGTGATGTATAATTTTGATACCTTAACACGGTTGCGTTTAGGGCATTAGGTTTGCAGTGTTTCCGGGATCGTTTTCAGCCAAGTGACGTTTCGATAACTTTTGTTACAGTTTTTGTCAAATCCACATTTTAGTTGTGTTAGTTTTTGTGCCCAATAGTTATATAAAACTGTTTTGTGATAAAATAAACTCCAGGTCGAGTCTTAGAGCTTAAACTTGTAACACAGTATTTATTATTAATAATGACGATTCTATAGACGAATTAAATTTTACATGTGTGTGCGCGTGTGCTTGCGTGCATACGCGTGTGCGTGTGTGTGTCTGTTGTCCAGAGGTATCCAAGTGCAGAGGTTGAAGTTGCAGCACTATGTTTTTTACTGGCATATATCGAACTATACAAAGTCTCAACACCAAACAGTGAGCTTAGACCGGACATCTAGACTCGCATCTCTCCCGTCATCTGTATATGCCCTGTTCCTTCGGCCAGTAACTGAGTGAGTGAGTTTAGTTTTATGCCGCACTCAGCAATATTCCAGCTATATGGCGGCGGTCTGTAAATAATCGAGTCTGGATCAGACAATGCAGTGATCAACAGCATGAGCATCGATCTACGCAACTGGGATACGATGACATGTGTCAACCCAGTCAGCGAGCCCGACCACCCGATTCCGTTAGTCGCCTCTTACGACAAGCATGGGTTACTGAAGATCAATTCTAACCCGGACCTTCACAGGTAGCCAATACCTGAATCATATGTCACAGTAATAGGTAAACACAACAATGTGCATTAGAAATGATATGGTTATGATTATAACTATAGTTATTTCGAAACTGTTCGAATCCAAGAGAAATTTAAAAAATAAATTCTTCGGTGATGACGATGACAATGACGATGGTGATGACGCCGTATTGTACTATTTCAAGTCAAACTGGCGTACAAAATTAGTATCACGAAGTTATCACCATTTTTGTGTAATATGTAAATGGAATATAACAGAGATTAAATATAGCATTAATGATGACGACGTCGACACGATGGTGATGATGATGATGATGATGATGATGTCACCCGCGGGCGCTATATAATTCTGCACAAAAAAATTCTCTATGTAACCTGCATATATTCTATGTATACAGTGGCAACTCGGCCAAGTGTTTGACAACGAGTGAGTCATATCTCTCCTGTTTACATTTCACCGTCGTACACCCCAGCGGCGTGGTTCGCAGAACGAAATAAAATATAAACAATTTCCTCAAATTAGGATATTTTCTGTTGCAAAATAAATAAAAGCCATTATTTTAATGAATCATATCTATCATGAAAATACTGTATATATTGACAAACGCATTTGTGCACACAAGACAGAAGCATTGTGGGCAATACAGAAATGGATATATGACCCTTAGGACGATTGAAATCGCTAATCCATAAAAGGTCTCGTATTCATGGTTTTATTGGTTTTATATAACCTGTCTCTTATGGTACATTAAACTTACATTGAAACTTCAAACCGGTACCTAAATATAATCCTGTATGTAAAGTTTGTTGTTGTTTTAAACAATCGTAGATATTATATTTCGTACAAGTAACATATATTTAAAGGCACTGATGACTGGAAATTAGTAATAATTTGTGTAGGGACAAAATGACTTTACATGTTGATACATTTTCGGCGTCAAGAGAGCAATAACTGCTCATGGCAGAACTTCAATTTAACAGCTGATTCTAAATCCTAAAAAAGAAATAAAAATGATTAGAAATATTATACCAAATACACATCAACACTCGTTTAATCTTCAAAGCAAATATTTATTTAGACATAATATATGCCAATATGATTTATTTTTTTAATTTCAACATTTCCACCGATACTTTCTGTTGAACTATATATGAAGATCTTTCATGGGGGAAGACTTATTGTCAACTTTGGTTGGACTTCATATATCCAGTGCACACATGCAGCACTAAATTTCAAATTTCACTAAATTAGTTCATATTCATATTTGTCAAGGGTAAAAATCTTGGTCACATGTCAAATATTTAAAAAAGTGACCAGTAAACAAAAACTTAACGCGGTGACATAAATAACGCTATAAATATTAAATGTGTCGACGTATTTTTGTCAATGTGTTTTCTGAACACCTTACAGGTTTTTCCCCATATAATGTGTTCAAAATCAATGTACATCCTGTATTTTTTATCAAGTGGGTATTATGTATGAATGAATCGATCATGAGATTTCAGAGGATATTAAAGGATGAGAACAGAATGGCAGTTTTACTATTTCAGCCATTCAATTGCCTCCGGTCAAAGATTTCCCTTCGTATTTTTAGATAAAATTTCTTTACTAATTCTATTCAGACTTAATTCAGTCATTTATGCCATGCATATGAACAAGATTCGGTGGTCAATGTGATCGATTGAATCAACATCCGGCAATTTCGCGGTATTTTGTGAAGAACGAAACCCTGTGCCAAGCGGCTAATGAATATTCATGCCTCGTTCATATTCATGAGGTCAGACCGGGCTATGAATTCACGAGAGGACACTTTAATGGCGGCATGATGTCGCTCAGCTCGTGGCTGTGTTTAGGTGTAACGGCGGCTTCCATCGAACTGGGTACGTATATTTGTCTAATTTTTGTTGTCTGTGTAGATTACAGCTATATGTATCATGTGCTTTCATATCACTGCTCGACTCACCATGTGAAGCGCGGAATCTCACAAGATTTTCAGTGTTATGCTGCGAGTGAACAATTTCTGTGTTGGTCGTCTGAGGATTCTGTTGTTTATACCGAGAAAATACTTTTTGTGCGTGTAATTGTGTTATTTTCCAGCAGATTTAAGTTTATATATTTGAAACTGCGGGTGAAACGAACTAAAAAGAGCTGTTGGGGTGTATTTGCAGGGTGCAGACTTTGTGTCGCCACCGCAAGATCGAGGGGTAGCACTTGGGTGATAATTGTACCAAAACAAATAGAGTGAAGGCTTTGCTAGGCGATTGTACTTTGCAATGAAAGATTCCCGATTCTCAATGTGGGCTCTTATATGTCGTGGGCCCTTTTGAATGTTCTTCTCACAGAACGAATTATAAAATACTTTCACGGCTCGTCTAGTAACAATTTATTTGTGAAGATAAAAATCTCGACAGAAATATTGCACCAAGCGTACACCACTGTGGAAGTTTAGACCCGAACCGAGTAGAACAAACACAATAACATTGACTTTAGCTCCCCCGAAGCCAAATAGTCCACAGACGGATCAACTGGCTGTTGAATATTTGAATTGTTTGAAGAAAATCTGTAAATTCTAACAAACTTCTTAAAAGTGGAGTCGTTGAGTGTGCCTTGAACATTGTCTTCATATCCACAATGTATTACTTTGTGTGGTATGTATGACGTAGAAATCCAAATTCAATTGTTGAGTCAGTCAACATACTATATATGTAATATTCGTGGTATGAAATATATTTGTTATTACCCAGCCTAAATTCAATTTATCAGTTATGTCTTCAGTATAATTATTTTATGCAATGCAAAAATGTCATTGAATAAAAATTTCATCAATCTTTGTTGAACAAATGCATAAATTTTATTTCATGTATTGGAAAGGTGTCAAATTCACAAATATTTAAAAAATTAATTTAAATTTTTTGGGGGGGCTTGAAATACGTTCTCAGTTTATTGGCAACAAAGGATTTACATGTGGTATGTGTTCTGCTATTCTTAGGTCTGCTATTTCATGATTATAAATTTATCGTCCATCTTGCATACACTCACGGCTTTTCCGTCAATACAAATCTGATTCTCCGTTTTCAAGAGCACGTCCCCCACAATGTATTTGGAACAATTAACTGATAGAGATATTGTTCAAACCTTGTTACATTGCCCCCTGTGATATGAGAACATCACTAACGAACACATGATTTAATTCCTTTCCCCTGTCATGTGGTTCCCATAGTGTGTCGGAAAATGTCGTATGTGAAAATGAATAAATATTTTACTCGACCATAAAGATTTTGTGATAAGGGCTCTGCTTGGGGCATTCAGGTAGATGGCCCAGCTCTAGAAAACAGCCTGCTAAACAGGTCAGACAAATCTGCATAATGATTGAAAAAAGATAGGAGTAATTTTGTCACATTGGATTTGCGGGGACTTTCAAGTCTTGAATAATACCATTTCAAATTACCAACTCAAATTAATTCTGACGTCTTCAAGACGATTTTATTGAGTTATTTTCATCATGCATATATACTCCTCAACATTATAGAGGGATAATCAGGTATGTCAGTCTGCTTAAAACAGAATCTGTTTTATGTGTCATATAAAGATAAAAAAAATATCCCTATAAAAGGAGAGTAGTATTTCTAACATTGATAATATGAGAAAGTTGGTTTATCTGAACAGTAAAATGTGTTCTGGTTTGTTAGATGATACTAAGTATTTTAAAAGTATATTATACTTATAATTTTCTCATCATGCCCATGATAAAGGCGTTGTTGTGTTTATTTCAACATGAACACAGTTTTTAATTGTTTAATACTGATGAGAAGTAAACTACATGAACAATGGAAGTCGACTATATTTTAGTTTAAAAAATAACGTAACATAGCATTGTAAAGAATCCAAACTTGTTTTTGATGGTACATGTGTTACGTTATTAAGCTGGGAAGTCTTGAACTGGAGTCATTCATGTTTTTCTCCCTCACATTCAATTAATGCTTGAAATCAAAATGGGTCTCTTGAGGAAGCTTATTGGAAAAATGTGATTTCCTAATTACTGATGTTATTTAATAATTGATGTCATTAATTGCGCCTGTTGTTTCGACCAGTGTGAGACACTCCGGCTCCTTCGTACTTAAAAACATATTTAGAACTGGAAAACAACAGTATTACAACAATATTAAAGATGGCCGTAATTGCGCACAAAGTACAACGTGTAAGGAAAAATACCAAATTTATACATTCTGTGAAATTTGCCTCTGCATACTCAAGTTCCTTTGAAAGATGAAAATTTATTGATTTTTAACTTCTTTATAAAGAGGAACACAATGTTTCTTTGTATATTTTTGTAATTAAACATGTACAGCCAATTGTTGTTGGGCATAATTAAAGGATGAACACTTTATAATGATTATTTATATTGTCTCTGTTCTGAATGGGGTAATATTTCCTTAACAACTCATCTTGTTTCCTCCTCTGATATCAGTGTTCAGGATAATATTATTCAAATATTTGCCGATCCTTATTACATGCAGTTCAACAATGAGTGTGTATATTGCAGAACAAATTAATTAAATGAATAAACCTGTTGTGTATTTATGGTAAAAAATATCCATTGTGCCATTTCCATTCAAATCGTTAATTTCAGTTATTATTGATAAATTGCACGTTCATTTAAAAACACAATACCAGTGTGTGGAACGTCAGGCCTGGCTTGTCAGTCATATGTCATGGTAATGGGGACGTTTAGTTCCACTTGTCAGCAATGTCTGTGGCAAATAAAAAATAATTTCATGCCAAATTAGGCAGGTGTACAGGTGTACACATTTCAAACTTGTATAGGCGTGAGGGTTATGTATTGTTCTATATTCTGACTGGAGGGCATGGGAGATCACAGAACAAACTCACCTGCATTATTACTTGAATGATGAAGCTGACATTTATCTTTATCGTTTTGTCTTAGTCAAAATTTTGTCTGTAGGGCTTTCAGTCTATTTCTAACTACTTTAAACATCAACAACTTTGTGGGTAGGAGTATGTTTTCTTTGTGCTTCCAGGTTGCATTATGTACAGCTGGCATTGGGGCGGTGGGGTAGCCTTGTGGTTAAAGCGTTTTCACATCATGCTGAAAACCTGGGTTTGTTTCCCCATGTGGGTACAATGTGTGAAGCCCATTTCTGGTGTCCCCCATTTTGATATTGCTGGAATATTGCTAAAACCGGCGTAAAACTATTATCACTCACTCACTCATCATGCCAAAGATCTTGGTTCGATTCCCCACGTGGTACAATGTGTGAAGCCCATTTCTGGTGTCCCCCATTTTGATATTGCTGGAATATTGCTAAAAGTGGTGAAAAACTAAACTCACTCACTCACTACAGCTGTCATTGACCACCTCCATCACCTAAGAGTGGAAAGTTAGAGGTTTAGTCCCTGTTGATACAAAAGGTGGAACTAGTTGTTACCCTGCCTTGAGTTAAGGGACCGCCTCCGTGGTGTATCCGCCTGAAGAGCGGAAGGTTGCGGGTTCGATCCCTGACCGTGTCATACCAAAAGATGTTAAAATATGGTACTTGTTGGTCCCTGCCTGGCGCTCGGCATTAATGGGTACAACAAGGACTGGTCAGTATACTGTGTCTGAGTGGGGTATTCATGCTTCACTGCGGCATGGTATCTCAGTGGGCTAGCACTATAAAACCAGCTCAAGTCTGGGCTAGTACCAGCAGCCGCACATACACATACACACACATGCACATCGTCATATGAGTAAAATATTCTCAAGCACAACGTTAAACCCAATTTCACCTCACCTCACCTTGAGTTCAGCACTTCGGGTATAAAACCAACTGATTAGCTCAGTATGCTGTGTCTGAGTGGGATATCTAAACTACTGGAAGGTATTGTTGTGATCTAACACTATCAAAACGGCATAAGTCTTGGTTAGTACAAGCAGGCACAAACATACACATGCATGATGCTATTGAAATGCATTAGGCTCAGTTGTGCTTCACCTTAGACCAGTGAAGATCCTGGTCAGAACTGGTCTTCAGTAACCCATGCTTGTCGTACAAGGCAATTAACGGGATCAGGTAGTCAGGCTCGATGACTTGGTTGACACACGTCATCGTATCCCAATAGTGTAGATCGATGCTGATGTTGATCACTGGATTGTCTGGTCCAGACTCAGTTATTTACAGACCGCTGCCATATAGCTGGGATATTGCTGAGTGCGACATTAAACATCTACCAAACCAAACCCTTTACCTCTTTCTCGAGTCCCTACCTAAGTATCTTACACCCAAGGGCAGGTAACTCTGTGCAGATTTCTAACACATCCACCCGAGTCTGTATTCTGGTAATACAGAAGATGAACCATTATCCTTCTCATCCATTATGCAAGTGAAATATAAGAAGAATATTCCTGCTCTTAATTTGATTTTTCATCTGTACAGTGCAGGAAATAATCAATAATCTCCATATTTTCGCTTCAAGTATATACCTACAACATTTAGAACAAAGTGTCAAAGAACATGTTTCTAAAGGATACCGCTGGGTCTGTGTCTTGTAATGATATTATAGGGGCTGTTACAGCATTTATGCAATATGTGTTATACTGTATAGTACATTGGGTTGACAATAGACAGGAATAGCTTCTTTTTAGGTCTTAAGATGTTAATCAAATCAGAAAGCTTATCTGTAGATATTGTATTTAGACCATCAATGCATAAGCTTTTTGTTTCAATACAGACTTTATTGTTAGTTCAAGGTTAATATTGAATTTTCTGCCAAGGTAATTCCATATCTGTGGTACAACTGAGAATACGTATCATATATGCATCACCTGTCTAGGCGCGCCAGTTAAAAAATTGATGGGATTGTGTAAAATTGTACTTTTTAT